TCATGTGATCCAGCAAAGATCAGATGATTGGAGCAGAGTTTTAAAACCCAGTGCTGATGAGGAGGGAGATGAGCTGCAGCTGATCAGCCAACACCCATCACACCTATTCATAAACTCTAAATAAATTTACCAAGCAAACAATAAAATCTCAACTGAAACAGGCTTTTTATAATAAATGTGAAAAAATATCGTAAACAAATAAATTAACATTCATAAAAGATAAATACTGCTTATTACCTGAAGACACCTATAGCTTCAACCTTAACAAATAACATTTTTCTCAATCTTCAAATAAAAACAATTACTCTCATAAAAACAAACACAAGCTGCACATTTTCATACCTCCTTCCAAGTGTGCTGATTTAAAGTTGGAAATCATCTTCTCTTGCTAGCATGCTCTCTCATTTCACACATCTTACCCTGTGCTTCAGTTTCACCTGACAACATGTGTTCATGATATTAAGCTAGGAGCGGAGGGAAGAGATAAACCGGAAACATATATATGCTAAAAATTTAAATAAGAAATAATTACTTTTTCTTTACCTTCACATGCAAGTTTAAAAAAAGGTGCCAGGCAGAAGAAGTCCACATCTTTCCTCCTATTATTCCTCATGTTTTTGTTTTTCCTTCCATGGATGGGTGAACAAAGTACTGTACAACAAAAAAATGAACAGTTTCCCTGGACGGGGCTGTAGCAGGGGTCACGTGACTGAAATGATCCAATAGCAACACAACACAGTTATAAATCTGAGTAGATGTGCCGGCACGACAGCCAAACCCATCTGTTCTCTGATTGGATGTTAAATCTATGATTGAGAAGACATTGACCAATCAGCTGGAGGCAGAAAAACTTGGTCAGAATTCGTACTTGTAAAGTGAAACTCACATGCAAGTTTTGAACTTGAGCAGAGAGATTTACACATAGTTTTTTGCTTTGTACCTGTAAACAGACCTTAGCAAAAAAAGAATAACTTGTGTAAATATTTTTTACAGATACAAATCTTGTTTTTACAGATACAAATATTATTTTTACAGATACAGATTTAATTTTTACAAATACAAATCTTATTTTTACAGATACAAATTTTATTTTTACAGATACAACTCTATTTTACACACATATTCCTATTTACATATTCAAAAGTTACAAATCTTAATCTACAAGTACAAAGTCTGACTTACGAGAACAAAATACATAAGACTAATATTTGTTTCCATAGATTTACATGCAGTTTTTTGCTTTGTACCTGTAAACAGACCTTAACAAAAAAGACTGTAACTTGCGTAAATATTTTTTACAGATACAAATCTTATTTTTACAGATACAAATCTTATTTTTACAGATACAACTCTATTTTACACACATTCCTATTTACATATCCAAAAGTTACAAATCTTAATCTACAAGTACAAAGTCTGATTTACGAGTACAAAATACATAAGACTAATATTTGTTCCCATACAGAAACACTAGAAAAATAAAGCAAAAACATAGATCACGACAGTTTTGTTTAATTTATGTTGTTTTTAAAGAAAGGAATAAACTATAGCCTGGCCCTCGCCGTCCCWTGCAGCTCCGCTCAATTCTAGTTTCCCTTCACTGCTTCGTCTTGGACTTCTCCCATTGAGATGGATTTTGCTGGCAGATTTTTAGCCGGGCCAATCAGAGGACAGAATGTCAATTTTCTGTGCAGTGTCTGCTTGTAGTTTATTTTACCTGGGCCAATCAGCAAACAGAAGGAGGAGTTTTGAATGACGTCGACGTTCTGTGCAGTGTCTGCTATTTATTCTAGCATACAGCAGTGGAGGAAGTGAATGAAGCCAGTCTGTGTTGATAAGGCTTCCAAATTAAAATAAATTTGTCTGACAAAACAGCAGCTCTCATTTACAGTCGTCTCGTTCGGCTCGGTACTTTTCTCCTCTCAGTAGGGTTGTTTACAGCACACGCGACTTCCGGTTAGCTTCTTAGCTTAGCCTCCATCACAGCGACAACACATACATGCATTTCATGCAGAGGCCACGCCTCCTGCATGAAACGCTTGTCTATGCATCTAGTCCAGACCCTAGTACGAAGCAAAGTGAAGGACAGGGCCTGGTTTTAACCAGGCTTAAATAAACTAACTAAATAAATAATTTCTGGATAAGTGTAATAGAGTTGACCTTCACACACCAGGAAGTACCCCTCACTCATGGTGTCGATTTATGGCCAATAACACAAACTTAAACTTGATCAACTGATAAACCTGAACAAAACAACTAACTGGAACAACTCATTTTTACACTCATGAACTTCTTTAATGGTCTAACACATTCCCACTCCCAACTCGTCACATATTGACGCTTTTCCAAGGTTCCCTCTGCGTCTTATTTGCGTTGGGTACCCCCTTCGTGTCAGTTTTTGACGCACCAGGCATTTCCGTGTTCCCTCGGTATCCAGGTTTGACTCGTTGGGACGCAAAATATAGGGGTCTTTGACTTGGGGTCCGTGGTCAATATTTGGGATCAGGGTTAATGGTTAATTTTAGGTACTGGGGTCAGGGATAGGATATCTAGGGCGAATATTAGGTAATTTTAGGCTTTAGAACACGTAGTTGACGTGAATTTCCTACATTTTCTAAAAATGGTTCATTTTAGGTATCAGGGTTAATGGTTAATTTTAGGTACTAGGGTCAGAGACAGCATGTCTGGAGTGAATAAAGGTAATTTTAGACTTTGGGACGGTAGTTTTTGTGCATTTTCTACACTTTCTGAAATTATGAAAACGGTTTCCGCCCCATCTCGTCAATAACTGATGCGCGGGAGGTACCAGACTCGTCAAAATCAGACGCAGAGGGAATCTTGGAAAAGCGTCAAAATGTGACGACTTGGGAGTGAGAGTAGTCATAAACATATAAACATCATTTCTACAAGATTACCCAACATCCCTTGCTGAGAAAATATTGGTCAGTCTGACATGTGGTGGAAGAGGGCGGGGCTTTTCAGAATACATTTTTCAACACTGCATGGTGTTATATAACAACACTGTTCAGTGTTATATAAGACTTTTTAGTGGACGGAGCTTATTTAACACTGTCCAGTGTTGAGACAACAGTGAGGAAATCAACACTGTGAGTTAACACCAACACTGGATGTCAGTTTACTCAGAAAGTGTTAAAATAACACTAGGGAGAGTTAAATTAACTCTGGAAAGTTTAACACTGACATTTTAACACTCCAGTTTTTACTTTGATTTATTTATTTTTTTACCAGAGCAGAAGGAGTGGTTGAACACAAATTGCTTGTTTGTTAAATCGTCAAAGGAAAACATTGACGTCTTTTGTCTGTGCTGAAAAAAATTACCCAACTGGCCTTTCAAATAACTGAACTCAAGGTTATTGCCATTAGCCAACAGTGAGAAAGAATTTGTGTGGARGAGACCAGATTTTTACTCGTTTAAAGTTTTGAACAAAAGTGTCTCGCTGGGATACAGAAGAAGGGGATGGACCCAGATTTTCTAGAAATAAATATTGGATTTTAGCAGAGAAACAAAGATGACCAAGAATGGAATGTCTGATCCAGAGGACTCATAGACTGAAGAGGGTGTTGTGCTTAGTGTTGTCCCCGGAAGTTCAACAGCAGCCTGCTGTTGGAGCGCAGCTGGGCGTGGCTCACAATGACGACACGGCTTCAGTTCAGGGTYAAAGGACAGGTGTGTTTCTCTCCTGCGTTGTTCACTTTGAGGACAGAAAATGGTGAGAATCTGACTTTTCCTCCTTACATATAGTGTAACTTTTTTACCTATCTATCAATAAAATATATTTATGTTTACCTTCCTTGGCTAAAAAACTAAAGCTCCTCATGGGGATGAAGGTTATTTAACTTTTTGGTTGATAAATGTAAATTATATCATTTAATAGAAAAAAATAAAATGTCAAAAAGTATTTGTTAACATTGTCTGATTGATCCACTTCTCTAGTTGTGCTTTGTGTTGAAAACTTGTCAGACTGGCAAATCAATGCAAATCTGACCGTGACTCAGGATATTTATCTGACCAGTGCGAAACGCAGGATCCTGTTGAAAAATCTGAGATTTTGTTACATTTCACACGTCCTGCTTCACCTCGCTGCAGACAGAAGCTGCTCTGCTACGCCTCTGGGCAAAGAGCTTTCCTTAATTRCCTCCTTTACAACACAAGCTTTATGTATTTACTGTCTTATTGCACCCAGAAGTGACTTACATGTGCTCAGATTTCCACGAGCTCTTCCACATTTCTAGTTGTGCAATCTAATGCTTCTTGATCCAGTAATGGTTTCTCTGTCTGTCAAAAAACAAAGGAAAAACTGTTGAATTGATTTAGTTGACATGTTAGCGACTGCTTTATCTATTTACAGGTTATATATATTTACCACATGTGAACTGGACTGTTAGGCACTTTTCTGAAACATTAAAAGGTGAAAGAATGCACATGTTCAGTTTTTGACTGAGATGGTTAGAAGGGGCAGTTGTAGCTGTTTTTGATCAAACGTTATGCCTGAACTCATGAGATTTTGTGAGATTTGTTAGTGAACAGACTATGTGTTGGGAATGACTTACCACAACATTTTTGTGTTTGCTCTTGTTATCCGTTGATTATCTCTTGAATGTTTCATTCAAATCTGCCTTTTGGTTCCTGAGATATTTTGCTAACAGGCAAGAGTTGACTCCAAATACCGTAATTCAGTTTTGGTTTTAGTATGATTAACAAAGCTGCAAGACAAACACACCTGAACCTTGGAGAAGTCATTGTTTTCAACGCCTCTTCTTTTCCTTTACAGTTGCACTTCCTGTTGCTGTTCAGTCGGCAGGGGAAGCTGCGGCTGCAGAAATGGTTCACGCCATTATCAGAGCGGGAAAAGAAAAAGGTGATCCGGGACATGATGATGTTAGTGCTGCCTCGGGCCCCGCGAACCTGCAACTTCCTTCACTGGAAGGACCTCAAGATCGTTTACAAGAGGTTGGTTGTACGAAACAGCTGCTTTCAATTCAATTCAGTTTATTTTTATAGCGCCAAGTCACAACATACGTTGTCTCAGGGCACTGTACATAAAAAGAACAATCTAAAGAAGAAACCAGCAGGCTGCGTTGAATCTCTTCATCACAGTCTCCCATCCTGAGCAAACGGTGGAGAGGAAAAACTCCCTGCTAATCAGGAAGAAACCTCCAGCAGAACCAGGCTCAGGACAGGAGACCATCTGCCTCGACCGGCTGGTTGAGGGACAGGAAAGAGACACAGGTAAACACAGAAGAACTGGTCCAGGACTGGTCCAGGTGCACCTTCTTCTGGAAGAAACAAGAAAAAAAAACGTTATTGATAGAAATAATTACAATAAACATGTAGAGAAGAGAGACTAAAGACAACAGCAGAGTGAAAAAATGTGCTCAGTTTGTGCTCCAGCAGTCTAAGTCTATAGCAGCAGAAATAAAGAATAATTCAGGAAACCTMAGTCTAACTACAGGATTTATCAAAAAGGAAAGTCTTCAGTCTAATCTTAAAAGTAGACAGAGTGTCAGCCACATAGACAGAAACTGGAAGTTGGTTCCACAAGAGAGGAGCTTGATAACTGAAAGCTCTGCCTCCCATTCTACTTTTAGAAACTCCAGGAACCACAAGTAAACCTGCAGTCTGAGAGTGAAGTGCTCTGTTAGGAAAGTATGGAACAATAAGATGTTTAATATATGATGGAGCTTGGTTGTTAAGAGCTTTGTATGTTAGGAGTAATATTTTAAATTCTATTCTGAATTTGACAGGAAGCCAGTGGAGAGAAACTAAAACTGGAGAAATATGATCTCTCCTTCCAACTCTCATTAAAACTCTAGCATCAGCATTTTGGATTAACTGAAGACTTCTTAAAGAGTTTTTTGGATGCCCGGATAATAAAAAATGTTTCTAACTTTAGTGATATTATGCAGGTGGAAGAAGGCGGTCCTGGTAACATTTTTAATGTGGGGGTTAAAAGACATATCCTGATCAAAAGTAACACCAAGTTTCTTTACATTAGAGCTGGAGGCCAGATTAATGCCATCCAGAGRAGGTGAAAGGCTACAAAGTTGATCCCTAAGATGTTCAGGTCCAAAAACCATAATCTCTGTCTTATCTGAGTTTAGAAGCAGAAAATTAAGAGTCATCCATGTTTTTATGTCTTTAAGACATGCTTATAGTTTAAGTAACTGGTTGGATTCATCAGGTTTTGTGGATAAATATAACTATCATCAGCGTAACAATGGAAATTTATCCCATGCTGATTAATAACTTTACCCAATGGAAATATATATAAAGTGAAGAGGATAGGTCCAAGCACTGAACCCTGAGGAACCCCATGACTAACCCTGGTGTAAGAAGATTCATTATTAACATTAACAAACTGAACTCTATCAGTTAAATAAGACTCAAACCATTTTAGAGCTGTTCCTGTAATCCCAATATCAAGTTCAAGTCTACGTAATAAAATATTGTGATCGATTGTATCAAATGCAGCACTGAGATTTAACAGGACAAGAATGGACACAAGTCCACTGTCTGAGGCCATGAGAATATCATTAGTAACTTTCACCAGTGCTGTTTCTGTGCTATGATGAGCTCTAAACCCTGACTGAAACTCCTCATATAAATTATTTCTATCCAGATGTTCACGTAGTTGATTTGCAACTATTTTCTCAAGAATTTTTGAGATTAATAGGAGATTAGATATAGGTCTATAGTTGGCCAGAACTCCTGAATCAAGATCAGGTTTCTTWAGTAAAGGTTTAATTACAGCAGGGGTGTCCAAACTTTTTAGTGAGGGCCAAATACAGAAAAACAAACAAAGGGCCAGGCCACATACTAAAGGTGATATATTGATACATCAATAACGTGTAACTCACCTATTGGGCATAAGGTCACTGTGGTTAGTCTTCTCATGGGTTCTGGKGGGGAGGGGGGGATAAAGTTGTATCGAGGGGGTTTTAAGGTCAAGCGAGGGGTTGGTTAACTGTCCTTCACACTGTTTTCTGTAAACTAATGAAAACATAAATGGATCAGTTTTACTGTAATAATGTGATACATTCATACATCAATAATGTGTGTATTTCTAACTCACCTCTGACTCTGATAGAATTCAGGGAGGGAGAGAAGCTGATGTTGACTCTTCAGAGAATCATCACAATGGCCTCATGCAAGAACATTTCATATTCTTATCCTAAATTTCTCTTACTTTTGTTCGTACAAAGGGTTCGTACGAACATGTCACGTCAGATTCAACAAACTCTTCTATCTTCA